TATTTTATTTATTTGCGTTTACCCCCAGTCAGATTAGAGGGACTTTATTCACCTAAAAGGGGGTGGGGCCATGACGCAAGGTCACAGGTTAGTGCCCCCCAGTCAACCCCCACCCCCTCAGAAATGTGGCTTCTTGACACTAAAAAAGATATTTCTGAATTATTTGGAAAGTATTCAATTAACTGTTCAATTATACACTTAGTTTCTTTTGTTTTCTAAATATTTAAAAATATTTATAGATGGAGCAAATGCCAGTAGACTGGCCAAGGAGTGCTGCTTCATAAAAACAGATGTTCTTTTGATCCAAGGACATATCATGAGACCAAAAAAAAGGAGACGTCAGACTTATATTTTGCTTTGTGATCAATAAGTCATAAAAAACCAAGGCACACAGCTCCATTTTTGACTGGCAGAGGTTTTTAATGTTTGCAGAGCATTAAGTCTGACCTTCTTTTTAGTTTCAAAATCTTCTTTTTTGTCCAATTTTGAAAACACAATTTAAAGGGGAACTTGGCAACTCTTGGCATTTCTTCACTGGTTTTCATTTTTTCCATCCAGTTTTTTCAAACGAGCCCCCCTACAGCCGGACTATTTCACACACGTCGAAAAACAAACAACTTGCACACCCCCTCCCCCTTACTACGCTGCTATGCCTTCTCGCGGCATTTCATGTGAGATATTTCTACCTAATACATTATACACTAACCGTTATTTAGGCGGCTGTGCATATTTGTGGAATCCTAAAGCTGCCTTCCCTCGTTCTCGCTTCCGGGCATTAGCTTCCTATTTCCAATATACCAGAACCTACCCAAAGCAGGGTCCCCCTGGGGATCCCAGGTTCGAAGGGGTGGGTCACCATTTCTCACCGTAGAACATGCCATCTCTAACCATCCAAATGATTTCTAAAGGGGTTTATTAACGAACGAAATTGCCAGTCCTTTATAATAAATATGCATGCTAAAAGTACTGGATCAGCCTATAAAATACCAACTATGTATTTAAAATTTTAGAATGTTACTCACTCCCATGTTGAAACTGCCAAATTCCTTGAAAAGAAAAGAAAAATATAAAGAACATGACCTTAGGATCCTCGATGTTAGCTACAGCCTGGTAGAGAAAGACAACAATGACTCATGCATTGTATCACAGTTAATCTTTATTTCTAGTGCAGATAACACACAGTGCTCATACTGGTTCTTTCTTTTTCTTACAAGGTGTCACTTTGTTTCTTTTTACACTGCTGAGAAAATCCACAATAGAAGTGAGAAATCAAAAATGTCACATTAAAATGCTTTCATGTTTGGACAGCATCCTTCAGTGTCATTTGGACAGGTGATCCCTGCCCCCGCTTCGGGAAGACGCTTTAAGCTGTCGCAACACTGGGACACGACAACACATCACATGTACACAGTCATAAACGTCAGGCTGAAGGTTGGTGTCCTGATGATCACACCTACGCCTACACCAAACTGGGATATGTTGACACATAAGTGAACATCTGTGTTTAACCTACAATATATAACAGAGTGACATCACTCATCCCTCTTTAAAGCAACACAAAAAGAATAAAATGTAAGCATGAGTTCAATTGAGTGAAATTCAGAAGATTTAAATACCATGAACCAGAGCGGTGTTTCATACAGAAAGCTCAGAAAAGCTTACTGTAAAAACTGGTTTGAGTGATTGTAGCAAACTGAACCAGGATCAGAACTCTCGCTAGTTCTTTCCAGAACTACATCTCTATTATATTTGTATCTCGTTTCTGAATGTATGATGGGACGTTTTGAGCAAGGGTTTGAGCACAAACTGTAGGGAACCTGGCAAATGCAAGAGAGATGCTTATGTGGATGATGGCACAGAATATATTTTTGTTTGCTCAATAAAAATATTTCTTTACACAATGATAATTTTTCTACAAAATCTAATTCAAGTGCTCGGAAAAAAATGTGCCATTATGTGCTTAAAAATGGGACATACATTTAATTCCATACATATCAGCTTTCATCAGCTGTTGACATTTCGGTTGTCGTGGAATTGAGCCATCTTCACGACAACTGAGACAATTTGAATTAATCAATGTAGGCTGTGCAATGGTTTTAAGAGCTCTGAAAAAAATTTGTAAGTGGACCTTGAGTTAAGATTATTTTGTCACAACTCCTATTCCAATGGTAAAGAATGACCTTTTACACACACCTTTTACTGCCTTAAAGGTTATACACTTAATGTCGTACTAGAGCACCAGCATCTTAGAATAAAACAATGGGACAGAAATAAAATAAACTCACCAAAACTGAATTGGTCTTTCCAACAATTACCAACCCTGGTTTGGTCAAAATAAATTTTTTATTCATGCAGTTACATGAGAAAATACTTGCAATGGTAAGCTAACATTTATCCTAACAAATGTGCTTGTCCACATAAAGTTGTTTTTGCCACTGACATGGAAAGGATCCCTAGAGAGATGGACCTTTTGTTTAACCAGAAGCAGCCGTAATATCACTATCACTCGCTTACTTTGCCTCCTGGCTCTGGCTTCCTACTAACACACAGACATACAGTGGATGTCTATAGTCTCATCTCACTCATACGGGAAGCAAATAAGTGAATTTCTGACTGATCGATTATAACGCTGGTTCAGGTTGAGGTGAACATTTTTAAATTAACTTTACCAGAAATAGGCTATTCTGTAGGGCTAGGTTTTCATGGTAACTTAGTTCAGACTTAAACCTGTGTAATGTAACAGAAAATGAGCCTGGTTACTGAAGTAAGCCTGGCTTAACTGGCTGCATTATGAAACAACTCTCAGAAGGAAACATATGGAAGTTTCTGGAACGACTTGAAAGGGTTGCTGATGATCTTCTAAAACCTGAGTTCAAGTTTGTATGATGCTACAAACTATATGATCTCTCAAAACTCATTGAGAATGAGTTGTATGTAGTTTCTCATCACAGTGAAAGTTGGCACGTCATTTTGGCACTACACAAAGTTTGTGCTTTGTAGCACATTGCACTTTTTTTGGAATTATCTCACCAAGTGAAGGTTAGTATAGTACTGTACATACGAGTGCAATATTTGTCTGACGAGTCTTGTTGACTCTAATTGGCAGCATAAATAAAGTGTCTCCATAGAAAATCTTCATAGGCTTCATAAATAAATGTTTCTCAAGAAAATCATAAATGTTAAATTCTGCAAAGGTGGATCCATAATAATAAATACATATAGCACAAACACACCACATTTGTATGTACCTACTCATGCACAGTTGCACACATAAAAAAACACACATGCTCACACTGATTCAAAGTGTTTTCACATGTGTAACCACTCATTTAAAATTATACTGTATTTAGCAATGTCATTAGAAATTTATTAACAAATATAAATCTTTTAAAATGATCAATACAAGTATTTAAAGGTGCAATCAGTGATATTTTACTGCCTCTTTGCATAATACTGTATATGCTGATGTCATGTCATTCCTTCTCAATGGCTGCTATGATTTGAAGTTTTCTAAATAGAACCCTTAAATTACTCATATTGCACTCCTCAGTGAACACAAGAACTTCAGATTCTTGTGGATGTTTGAGATCTGTAAAGTATATTCATTTATTTAATTTTTTTTTAATGAATGATAAATAAATAAAATTTTAAAGTATAGCCTATGAGTGGCAAACACTGAGTTCACTGACAGGTGTTAAGTGCACTAGACACGGCTTATTCATAGCTCCATCATGGTTTCAATGTACACAGGAAACTTTACAGTGCGTTTCAATGTGTTCTCAACAGTCACATTAATAATATAGTTATAGTTATAGAGATCTTTTACAAGCATAAATACACGTTTGCAGCTCGTGCTGCTGTCAGTGTTGGTGTTTTCTCTCTACTGGGGTCTGTTTTGGGTCAATCTCAGATTAGATTTGGTCTAAAAAATCTTGGGTCTTGGATTGATCTCACTGTCCTTGGATTACTTGTTTTTTCTTCACTGTCTATTTTGGATTGGGTCCAAACCCAGGAAGACCTCTACAGTATACGCAGCATTTGAAAGATGAATGGAGCTTCGGATTTCTCTCACTGGGTAGCTAATGAGTTTGTGGATGTTTGTGGACTAGAGAATATTTATTTATTTTAGTGCATGAAGGTTTATAAATTATTAATTAATAATTATATATATATTAATAATTATTTATATATATATAAATAAATAAGTATTGTCTGTGATTAAGAAACACTAAGTCAGCCAACAGATGTTAGACATGACTACAGGTCTTAACAGGTTCCTAGTAACTAAGACCTGCCCCAGGTCCTGGGGTCCCATTTACTCAGTCTAACCCAGGTAAGTCTCAGGTGTGTCTATCAATTTGTCTGATTTGAATGGGATCCAAGTGGGCTCTCAATCACCTATATCCTAGATGCAGTCCTGGCCCTCTTCAAGTCCCTTTTGGGTCAGGTCTTGTTTTTAAGAAAATTAATTTATGCACATTGAGTTTCGGTACATTTTCCACTGGTCTGTTTGGGATCATGTTGAAAGTTGTGAATCTGTGAAGACCTCTAGGTAAGACTAATCCTTGTACCTTACCTGTATGTCTATTGACTGTAGGAGGAATGTGGAGCAACTAACACAAACCAAAAAAAGGCCCCAACTGGAACTGATGGGGTTCAAACTCAGGACCTTCTTGCTAGTCTTGCTAACTACTAAGCCACTGTGCCCCTAAAGAGCTGTACTAATACTGATTGCAACTTTAAACTGAATGGAGCAGAACATTAACTCAACATTAATTGAACCTTTCTTACGTTTGAAAATTCATTATAAAAACTGAATGGTAACACAATTAAAGATAACTTTGTCATAAAGGGTTCTGAAATATCATTGGGATATGGTGCCTGACTGAAACTCAGCCTATAGTTTAAGGGCAAAGCTGAAGGCATTGAGACCCAAACACTTACGAAATAATTAGATTACAGGGCTACTGAAAGGTCTAGGAAGTACAAGCATATTAAAACTATACGGTGGTTTCATTTTTCCAAGGGCCAGTTCGTATGTTTCCTGTGGCATCTGAACCAAACAGGCCATCTTCCTGTAGGCTCCTATTTCGGCCAATGGTACCCCGCCGGCTGACAGTGGCGTGCTGCCGAGGCAGAGTATTTCTTGGGAAACCTTGCTGCTCCGCCTCTACGCAGAGATTATCCTTTTCTTTTTCTGTTGTCTTTGACATGCAGCTGTATGTGTCTGGGTCTTGCTGATATTGTAAGGTGAAGGGATCAGGTTTCTCACAGCAGCTTGTAGTGGAAGAATGATCCGCTGAGCTGTACATGTGCCACTGGCAGGTGTGGACCCCATGAGAAGGCAGGAGGAGGCTGTGACAGGAAGTAATGCTGTCATGCATGTTGTGTACGCTCTGGCAGGAGGTCTGGCGTTGCAAACTGTGGCAGGAAGCCAGCTGCTTATCCAAGTGAGGACTAGGGCAGGGAAGCTGGAGGTCTGGGTGGGGGCTGTTGCAAACCAGAGATGAACCTTCAAGGTGGTGCGCAGCATGGGGGCTGTCCAGGTGGGAGCTGTGTACACTCCCATCCATACTGGTGGAAGTCATGTGAGAACGGTAGTCCTGAAGGCATGGGCGTGGACGGTTGAAGGAGCGCGACTTTGTTCTGTTATTAAGGCAGCTCTGTAGAGGCAGAGCGGGACGAGAGAGCTCCTCAGAAAGTGACTGTGGACGTGGTGATGGGACTGGCTCAGCGAGAGGTGAGATTGGGGTTGGGCTAACAGGTCCCATCACTGCCACGCAGCATGGACCTGTGTTATTTGGTGTAGGGCTCTGGGGAGGTGGTATCATTTTGTGGTAAGAACTCTGCACAAGGTGAGGAGAGAGCAGCGGCTGCTTGCCTGAGCATGGGGAGCTTAAGTGGCAGTGTGGTTGATGGAGCTCCTGCCTCTGGCTCTGTCCATCCCCATTCCCGCCCTCTGTCTTGGACTTGGACGGGCAACAAGCCCACCAGCGGTGCCATACATCATCACGTTTGGCACAGTGCTGAATGAGAAGGAAGAGTCCTAGAGTGACACAAAAAGCCCCATACAGGCAGCTAAATATCATATCCAGGAAATGTCCTAGTGATACCGCCAAGGCTCCTAAAGCCCAGGTAGACAGGAACAGAAAGAGGGTGAAGGCTGTGGCCCGGAGCTGAGATTTAAATGAGTGCTCATTGGCTAGAACTGACAAGCCTGTTGCAAATGGTGGACAGTCCCCAGCAGGCCCAGAAGCTCCCCCAGTGTCAGTGTGGCAGTGATGGTTTGACTCACTGGATGATAACTGCTGCTGCTCCTCACTCAGAACTCGCAGCTCGTACTTCCTCTCCGGGTGGCGTTTAAGCTGGATGTAGGTGCACAAGAAGTACACGGACATGACTAAGACCAGAAGACTAATGGGGGCATAGAAACCACCCAGGCTTGGTTCCCATGCCATCCAGCAACTGAAAGACATACAAAGACAAACAATTATTTTATTTCTAAAACCCTGTGAAAACATGATTGTTCAGAAATTATTAGTACTTACTACAATGCGTCATCCCTGCTGCCATAGTTATCCATACCAAAGGCTGCTGTAATTCCAACAATTATGAGTGGAATTCCATCACTGACGAGATAAAATCTGCAAAAAATTAAGTATTAATGCTGGCTTTGGAATTATGCAGGGTAACTGGTGGTGTAGAAAGATAGAACTTGTCCAGCTTAAACCATCAAGTTAAAGGTCCAGTGTGTAACATTTAGGAGGATCTATTGGCAGAATATTCATAGGTATGTTTTCATTAGTGTATAATCACCTGACATTTCTGACAGTAGATCCTCCTAAATGTTACACACTAAATTCAAGGAAGGGTCAATTCCATATTGTTTTAAATTGATCAACTCTTCATCTGACTTTGATTTGCGAATCTCTTCATGCTGTCATAGTGCACTGAGATGTGTTGGTCTTAAGGATGAACTGAATAATGACCACTTGCCTCAACACTCCAAAATTAGTTTTCTTAAATTCGCTAAGAATATAGTAAACGCAACAAAGACGTCTATGGGTATTTCCATCACTGCCATTATCCTTACTCTTATGTCAAGCTCTCATGTTGGTTTTGAAAAACAGGATACTGCTTGTTGACAGAACCCAGTGATGCAGTCATGATTAATTTACACATTAGTCAATTAGTGATTTAATCAGAACATTGCTCAGCCCTGTCATGCACATAAACACCTGCTCACTAGCTTTCATCTTACCTGAGGACTGTTGGTTTGGTGCGAGTCTGGGCTGGCCCATTCCTGTCCTGGGTCCGAAGTGGGTCTTTGGACACATCTTTACAGATGTTTCTAGCTGTAAACGTCAGCCACAGCATTGTAGACAAAGAAGCATAATGGAGCACGATGCCAACCTAACACAGATAAATATGTAAAAAATATTAAAAGCAATATGAGTTCATTGTCCAAATTAGCATGTGTGTGTTTTGTACATGAGACTAAGATAGGTGGGTAATCACCAAACCACAAATTTCTCACTTTTGCATTATGCTGCTAACTGAATAGTCTCAATGTTATGTTAGGAAAGTAGGTAAGGACTGCAGACAGGCATTACAGTTTGTTAACTGAATCACAAGGTTACATTAGGGCTGACACCTTCTGGTCGGTTGGTCAATTTGCTCTTGTCTGACCAAATTCTAATTGGTCAGACAATCATTGGTGTTACTTTCAGGAGGGACATATGTAAACTGGATGTATTTTATTTTTGAGTGATAGGCTATATTAGTAAAAATGTGAAAGTAATATTAGAATATATTTTACTCAACAAATGTGGTTCTGTTTTATTAATTGTATGGTTTAACAAACGATAAAATCTATAAGACTTCAAGTGGCAGCCTGGAGCTGTATGTTTTGCCATGTTTTATGTTGTTTTAGTGTTTATTTTGTTGTTTAGCCTGATGAACTTAGTTGCAATTTGGAGGGACAGTTGAGAGAAACTGTGTGAACCATTTGCCTCTATTGAAGCCCACTAAATAACAACTGTAGTAGCTTAAATGCCGGTAGCTGTTTTTTCATGTTTCACTTTTTGTGGAGCTGCCAGCCTGCGTTGCAGCTGTATGTAAATTGAGTGGGAGTCATGTCCTAAAGGTAACAAAGCTATGTGTGAAAAAAAAGGGTAAAATAATTTATTTTCTTGGCTTCTCTTGAACTTTGACTAGCAACCAACAGCTACCAGGGTAGAGTGAACTGGGATCGATTTAGTTAACCTAGAAATAACATGAACTTTTTTTCCCGTCAACCAATTGAATTCGGTAGAATTTCAATTGACCAAGATTTTCATTCTTTGATATATTCATTAAAATATAGCAAAGCTGTGCAGATACAAAATCAATTAAGGTATAGGAAACTTGATCTAAAAAATATTATACAGTATTCACTTCTTTTTGGACTTAAAAATATTAAATCATTAGTAATTATGATTTTCAGCCACACAAGCAGTGGGGCTCTGAGGATGACAATATGTCAGTTTCCTGACCCATCACCTTGGTCCATAGAGAAACATCTTCACTAAATTGGGTGAATTATTATAAAATGTGATACAGACATTCATGTTCCCTATGGGAAGATTTGTAATAACTTTTGTGGGTTTTTTTCTTTTAGCACCATCTTTGTCATCAGGTCAAAATGTCACTTTATTTTATTACTAAATACCTGCAAGGCAGGTGAGCTAATGACCCTCAGCTGTATGATGTGTTTAGAGCTAATTAGTAAATGTTAACGCTAAACTCACATGTTTCCCCTTCACCGTGTTCAGCTTACATTAATTCACTTCAAAAAGTAAAGCCTATAGCTGCTAGTAACCTCAAAGCTGCCTAAAAACTGGTTGACCAACCACTGAGGAAGCTTTCAGTTCTCTCAGGACCATCATTCTGTGCAGAACACATTTTTAAAAGTGCTGTGAAATAACACAAGCTGTAGGAAAACATCAACTTACAATTTGACACACAAAAGGTAAGTTGATCTGATTGATGCCCCCGGCAAAAACTCCAAATGTCAGCCCCGTGTGAAAGAGGAAGTTGAGGAGTGTGTGCCAGCCATTCCTGCTGATGCGGATCACACTGCAAACAATGAATAGAATTACAGAGTTAGGAATTTATTGCTTCAATTGACTACATTTACCATCAAAACTGAATGGAAATCCACTCAAAACATGTATGTGTATACAAGAGTGACACAAATAAACAACCCTATTTGGAAATAATTTGGACTATATTTATAAAATTGTGACTCACAAATATAGTGCTAATGCGAGTGAAATGTATTATGAGGTAATTAGTATGGCATATTGATTTCTAATAAAACTGTTATTTAAATTAACTCCTATATAGCATTTTGTACTTTACATTTTGGCTAGACATGTTCCCCTGTTCAGTCAAATGTTTAGATAATGCTTCCTGTCCCTAGAGCCACTGAGGCAGACCCCTCCTAATGTGACTCCACTGTAGAAGATGGGATCATAGTCCACTGTCCTTGTTCTATGCTACAATGAATTCTCAAGCTGAAGCCAATATTAAAGTTGAGCAGTCTAAGATACTGAGCATTCAGACCAAAAACATGACTGTGTCAAACGCAATGGGTTAAAATCATTCAATTTCACATTGCACAGGGGGACAACACAAGGATGCCCACTCCTTCCTTTTTAGCACCTTGCTGACACTGTCCAATAATCAGATAATAGGTGTCCAGTCCAAGAGAATAAACCATAAAATAAGTTTATATGCAGATGACATGTTACTAACTTTAGCTTTTCATTTCTGGAGATCACATTTACACAAAATCATAAAAGTGTTGCTGAACAAAGCATGTAAGTATCATAAACTTGTGTTCACCACAGATCTTATTTTCTGCAATAATCCAAAATCCAATGGAAAATCCCATTGGCTTTATGTTGACAAAAAATGTGTCATCCCTGCATCACTATATAAATAAATAGCCTTTTTTCAGGAATTCCAGAAGTGGCGGTGGTAATGGTGGGATGAAGGAAGTCCAGCTTGACTAATAGATCCATGGGTTTTAAGGCTTATGAAATGCCCATATACTGTACGTGTTTGAAATACAATCAACAACTTTGAATCAGAATCTTTGAATGTATTGCTTGCTTGTTTGCATGCACTTTATTAGCATACACAGTGTGTTTCAGGATGACGTTCCAATGCATTTCACAAAAAGGGTTTTGTCCTCCAATTCTTTCTTTTTTAAATATTTTATTTAACTCACAGCTCAAGGTGGACAGGAAGGTGGAGGAGAGAGAGAGAGAGGAAGAGGGGATGACACGAAGCAAAGGGCTACTGGTCAGACTCAACCCCATGGCCGCTGCAGCAGAGACTCAGCTTTGGTACATGGGTCGCCAGCTCTACCAGGTGAGCAGCAATTTCTTGTATGGAAGTAATTTTAGGAGGGGATCACAGCAGAACCAAGACCTCAGTGTGCTTCAGACTAATTGATGTGTTGTCTGAGCATGTCTCAAGGCTGAAGTGTTCATAATGGTCAAATTTAAAGGCGGGGTAAAACGCTCGCTGGATTAAACAATTTCTCCTTGAAGGCATTGATGGTGTTATGCTCAGTTATTTACATAAAAAGTAAATAATTTGTGTTTAAGTTAAGTTCCCTGCATGAAGTGGGTATCATTGCTGGTGCTATCATAAATGTTCTTCTCACCTATTGTGGACAATGTAGGTCATGATGGAGACGAGCAGACAGAGCAGCATGACCGCTGTGCAGGCATACACCACTGGATGCAGGTAATCCCCAGGGTATGGTGGGAAAGACAGCACTCTCTTCAGATCCTGAAGAATGAGACAAGTTTACAAATAGAACAGAATAATTAGATCCTCAAGAATGTATAATAAAAAGCAAAACATGCCCAGAGACATACACCCTAGTTCAATGAAAAAAACAATGAAGATTGAAGATGATCTGAACGGCGGCATTGCTGCCAAAAGTTATTAAGACACTGTCCAGATGGTCCTGTCCTGATCTAAGCCAAGCAGGACTTGGTCGGGAGTGTGCTGGTGCATTTGTCTGTCTATGCTATTCAGCTTAAAGGAAGAGTTCAGCATTTTGGCAAATATAGGCTTTCGTTTTGTGTGTTCAATGTTCAGAATCTCATGTCTCTGTATTAATTACAGAACTGGAGTCAGAACTTGGTTAGTTTAGTTAGCATGGAAGCAGGGGGATTGAGCTTCAAAGCTCAACATTTGTTGTATATGTGGTTACAAACAGAAATATGTTAAATGGGGGAGTTAAATGTCAGGACTATTCTTTTGGCGAACAACAGTTTGCTCCATTTGAGCATTGTGTCTGCACAGTGTGGCACCCCGATTCTTACTTCATGGTGATTATCACTAATGAATATGAATATTATATTCCATTTACCACCATATACCACCAACAATGAAGCACATTTCCCCAAATGTTGACCTATTTCTTAACCCAAACAGCTGAACCTATAGCTCTATATCTCAAGCTTCTGACACCAATGCCAACACACCTACTGCAAGCAAAGAGCTTTAAGAATGCTTGTGAAAACAAACAATGACATTTTCTCTATGCATACAGCCAGTGCCGCTACCAACAACGCTGCCATGAACCATCAGCACTCAAAACATCTTGCCTCACTCATGTTAGTCAGACTGACTACATGAAGCCTGCAGACTTGCTGCTGGAGTTTAGAATGTGCTGCATGTTTCCGAAGCCCTGCACAATTACTCAAGCCTCTTTCAATATGAGTGCATTAATGAAATCTTCTGACACGGTCCCAGGATGTAGCAACACACACTCCCCTGTGCATTGTAATGTAAATTTAAATTATAGTAATTATATTGATTGATTTGCATTACTGAAGCAAACCCTCTCAATTTGCTTTGGATTTAGACAGGGCAAGTCTTCGACTACTGCTTCCTGTAGTTGTAGTGTTGCCTAACTGCACTGACATCACTGTCTTAAAATAACTCAAGTTGGCAACAATTCCAAAACTGAAAAAAGGTTTGTGTAAACATGGCACCCAGGGATTTCAGTGCCTCCTGAAATATGAAACCAAGTGAACAAAAGGCACATTATCAGACCTCGTTTGGGAGGCTGTATATTTGTCTTTTAGAAAACAAGTTTTCTCTTATGAGAACCTAGCTGCACTTTTCTCCCTGCCAGATTCTATCTAGTGATCTGATAAGATAAGAGGAGATTCTTTGACTAGCCATTATGAAATTCTTCCCCCATCCTCCTGCTAATGAAATATAAGGGGCTGCAACTATTATTTTCATTGACTATTCTGCAGATTATTTCCTGTTGATCGATTAATTGTTTTGTCTAAAATGTCAGGAAAAAATTGTTTTTTAACATTATTATTTCTTTTCTTATTTACTATTGTTTCAGACAAAGACCAGAACACATTCACATTTGAAAAGACCAAACCAGTGACTGATTTAAATGCCACTGGGCAGGGATCTAACAAGCACTCAACGTATGATTCAACACAATTCACGATACTGGGTTCACAATATGATTTTTCTAATGATTTTTTTTAAAAACAAAATTAGATTGAAGGACAAATGACTAAAATGATTCCTTTATTTGTTAGACAAAAATAAGATATATCTTTTCTTGGAATTAATATTCATAGGTATGTTTTCATTAGTGTATAATCACCTGATAATAAGAATTGTTATCATTACCTTATAGAATGAGCCTGTTTTTATCTACAGAGGGAGTGGATCGCCTTCAGTGGAGTCTGCCATGTCGAGCCACCATATTTTTACAGTAGCCTAGAAGAACCAAACACTGGCTGTAGATAGCGGGGCGTTCGTGTTCGCTGTGATCTGCCAACTTCACCATTAAATCCTACACACTGGTCCTTTAAATTGAAATCCAAATCTCTGTGAACCTTTATTATTCCACTTGTAAAAGCAAACAAACAACCCATTTGCATTGCAGTGTATGCACATGACATCACTGCATATCGCCACTGTCTCACTCAACCCAAAAAACCAATCC